GTTTTAGCATTGTTATTTTAAGAATGTGTAATGGCTAGCACTTAGCCTTAGTAAAACCAAAGACCTGAAAATGTATTCTATTTTTTTGAAAGGTCCCACCAAGGTCTCCAAAAGGCATTCTAAAATTTAAAATTCTGTTGCATGTACATTATAATAAAATAAAGGTGAAGCAATAAAGGTAAGGTAATATCATAAAATAAAGATAGTAAAATGCAAAATTCAAGATGCTAAAGGAATTATTAAATAATGCTAAATTAGAATAAATTTGGAAGAAAATACATGTTTTATATTCATTAGGTTTCATCTAAAGCAAAGAAAGTTATTTTTAGAACCAGTGATATCTTTCTAACTTATAACAGTGCATGAAGGTAACTAACTTTACTAGGAAATAATGATATTGAATTATTCAACAGAAATACTTCAAGTTTTTTCAGAACAATGAAACGAAGAAAACATAAAAATAAAGAATCGGCATATGTGAGTTTTAAGTATCTAGATAAAGATGAATATTGGCCACATTTAAATTTCAAATAAGATCTATGATTTTCTTGGTATCAGCACTGTAGCAAAACGTTATTTTTATTATGTACCGCTAATAAATACTTTTAAGTACAATGTATATTTTCCCTTTCATACTTGCTAAATTTAAAAAGAAAATAAGTGATAATGAAGTAAATTGTGAATAGATTGCCATAGTATTCTATATAATCATCATTTCTTTTTTTCTTTTGCTATACTTATGCCTTATTTTCATTATATTTCTCTAAAATTCATTTTTACTTCTATGAACTCATCTTATTTCCTCTATTCTATGATCTCATCTTACCTCTTGTCATTTTATGTGTCTTTTAGCATAATACTCCTATTATATATTTTATTCATCTGCTTTGTTTCATAAATCTGCTTATTAGATATGAAAATATTTTTCTTTCTCACCAAATGTTAAATCTTTTCTTTTTTCTTTTTTTTTTTTTTTTGAGACGGAGTCTCACGCTGTTGCCCAGGCTGGAGTGCAGTGGCGCGATCTCGGCTCACTGCAAGCTCCGCCTCCTGGGTTCACGCCATTCTCCTGCCTCAGCCTCCTGAGTAGCTAGGACTACAGGCGCCCGCCACCGCGCCCGGCTAATTTTTTGTATTTTTAGTAGAGACGGGGTTTCACTGTGGTCTCGATCTCCTGACCTTGTGATCCGCCCGCCTCGGCCTCCCAAAGTGCTGGGATTACAGGCTTGAGCCACCGCGCCGGGCCAAATCTTTTCTAAAGCACCAGTTCACATACATGAAAAACTATAACCTGTCTTTGAAGTTAAGCCAATTAGAAGAGATTACTGGTAGCAGTTTTCTTTCACTTACCAGGATAATTTTAATTTTCTACCTCTTTACAGGAATCTGGGTCATCTCTCCAACCCATAGGATTTTGGGTTCCCTACACTGATGGTATCTTTTTAGGATCTGGTGGCAAGAATCAACAAATACCCTAGATGCCTTGGTGTGGCACATAATGTGCCAGATGGTGGGAAGTATTCCCCATGAAAATTTGAGCGCCTGCCACCATGGTGAAGTTTCTAAGTTGTCAGTGGTCTATGCCACATTCACTCATTCTCTACAAGGTGGAAGTTAAGTTTCTACACCTTACACGCCCCTGCCATTGAGGAAAAGCCCCTTTAGAGTCTGCAGGCAACATGCCTTCCCACCATTCCTAAAGCCTGTACCTGTGATCTCATGGGAAGTTTTCTATAACCAGCTCTATGAGAAAGCAAAAAATGTAAGGCTGGTTTACACATTAAAAATGGATTTTCAAAGTAAGAGCTATACAACTATAACATAACAACTCCACTCACTGGGGTCCTAGAAGACAGTAGGGGCAGAAACTTGAGCAGTGCACTTCAATGGTAGTGGAGATGACTAGACATATGGATACATACCCAACAATGAATGATCTCAATAGATTTTCTGAATAATAATAAACATGAAAGGAAACTGACTTGAGGATCAGTGACAAGGTATTCAGAGGAAGAAGTAAATGGGAAATCAGCAAAAGACCTCTTGGGTCATTACTTAGTGCAAATATATTTGTATCTCACATATACACTGCCTTGGCACAGGGCATACACTGCAGAGGAGTCTCGATAATCACACAGACAAGGTGACCTGGTGGATGTTGAAAGTCAGTCTGTCTTAATGCTTTTTTGTTTTCAGAGGCAGGGTCTTGCTCTGTTTCCCAGGCTGGAGTGCAGTGGTATGACTGTAGCTCAGTGCAGCCTCAAACTCCTGGGCTCAAGCAATCCTGCTACCTCAGCCTCCTGAGTAGCTAGGACTACAGGGGTAAGTGCCACCATGCCTGGCTTTTTTATTTTTTTTAAAGATTTTCTGTAAAGATGGGATCTTGCCATGTTGTGCAGGCTGGTCTTGAACTCCTGTCCTCAAGCAGTCCTCCCATCTCAGCCTTCCAAAGTATTGAATTATGGGCATGAGTCACCATGCCTGGTCAATATCAGTCATTTTAAACAACCACCTAGTGTTTGCTCAATAAATCCAAGAAAAAGTGTTCAATGCAGCTCCAGTGGAAATTATCCAAGAGTTAAACCATATGAGTGTAACCCTCTCCAAGGCTAATCTGGCCAGGAAAGTTGCTAAATAATGAGTTTGCCAAGAGCTTGAGATGAAAGCTGAGTCTCTAATGATACCATTCCCCAGGACCAGCCAGTCATCTGGTGGCAAACTGATTACATTGGATTTTTATATCATACTAAGGTTAACAATTTGAAATCACTGAAATAGACACTGTGGGTATGCATTTTCCTTCCCAGTCCCATAATATTCTGTCAGAAACATGATGCTTGGATTCACTGAATGCCTTACTCCCAGTCTGTATTAGTTCGTTCTCACACTGCTGTAAATAACTACCTGAGACTGGGTAATTTATGAAAAAAAGAGGTTTATTTGACTCACAGTTCTGTAGGCTGTACAGAAGCATGGCTGGGAGGCCTCAGGAAACTTGCAGTTATGGCGGAAGGTGAAGGGGAAGCAATCATGTCTTACCATGGTGGGGCAGGAGAGAGAGAGCAAAGAGGGAAATGCTACACACTTTTTTTTTTGAGACAGGATCTTGCTCTGTTGCTCAGGTTGAAGTGTAGTGGCGTGATTTCAGCTCACTGCAACCTCCGCCTCGCCTCCTGGGCTCAAGTAGTGCTTCCACCTCCGCCTCCCCAGTAACTGGGACTATAGGCAGGTGTCACTACATCTGGGTAATTTTTGTAGAGATGGAGTTTCACCATGTTGCCCAGACTGGTTTCAAACTCCTGGGCTCAAGCTATCTGCCTGCCTTGTCCTCCCAAAGTGCTGGGATTACAGGCATGAGCCACTGCGCCCACCCGTGCTCGACACTTTTAAAAACAAGATCTTGTGAGAACTCACTATTGTGAGAACAGGAAGGGAGAAATCTGCCCCCATGATCTAATCACCTCCCGCTAGGTCACTCCCTCAACATTGGGAATTATAACATGAGACTTGGGTGGGGACACAGAGTCAAACCATATCACTGTCATAGGATCCCAACTATTGTTTCTGACCAAGGAACTCATTTGCTGTGAGATTAATGAGAAGATAAACTAACACTATGAGAGTCACTGGTTTTACAGGGTACCCTATCACCTCCAGATACAGGAGAACACATGGGTGTGGAACCAGGGGAAGAAATAAGAGTGGTTCGTGGTTCGTCTTACTCTTTTTTGTTTTTTTGGTTTTTTTTGAGACAGAGTCTCACTCTGTCGCCCAGGCTGGAGTGCAGTGGCGTGATCTCGGCTCACTGCAAGCTCCGCCTCCCGGGTTCACCCCATTCTCCTGCCTCAGCCTCCCAAGTAGCTGGGATTGCCCGGCTTTTTTTTTTTTTTTTAAGTAGAGACGGAGTTTCACCGTGTTAGCCAGGATGCTCTCGATCTCCTGACGTCGTGATCCACCCACCTCGGCCTCCCAAAGCACTGGGATTACAGGCGTGACCCACCGCGCCCGGCCGGTCTCACTCTTAATATCCCAATTCCTGTCCCAACAACTTTGGGCTCCGGTTCCTAAGGGAGGAATTCTTCTACCATGGAATAAAACCAAATGTCTATGCAAATAGAAGTTGAAATTGCCATCTTAATATGTCATATAAATGAACTAACAGGCAAATCAGGGGTGTACTGAACAGTTTGGGGTAAATGATCCTGATTATTAAGGGAAAAGAAGGTCACTGCTACACAGTGGGGTGGAGTATGGAAAACTCGTACTGCTTCCATCTACAGAGGGAGAAATTAAGGGACAACTCTAGCAACTGAATACAGGTAAGATCATTAAAGTTTAGGGCACCCTGCCAAGCAAAGAACCACAGCACCTTAGGTACCAGCTGAGGACATAGAACAGTTACCAGAAAGGGAAGTTGTTAATATTAATTATTGCTTTATATCTAGAGACAGAAATTTCTATAGTACTCAGGCATTTGCTATGAATATATTTGTGTATATTAACCTATGTAATTTTTTATATCAAGTATTTTGGTGATGGATAACCTGATAATTTAATGTTTAGGTTAAAGTTTATCAAAAAGGATTGTTACCAAACTGGAAGAATATGTAACATTACTAATTTGGGTAAAATAACTCGTAGAATTTGTGATCTTTTCTTTGTATTGAGAGAGTAAATTTCTTTTGAATAAGAAATAATTCCAATATGTTAGATTTTAGACCGTTGTGTTTTTTTTTTTTTTTTTTTTTTTTTGGTGTTTAAAAGTTTAAACATAGTTAGAAAGGTTTATATAGATGCTAAATGGCCAGAGGAGTGACTGCTGCATATTATTTCTTTTGGAGCAGCCAGCATGCACCCTTATTTCCTTTTCTGGCTGTCCTCAAATCACAGTGACTAGAAGCCTAGAAAATACGTGTCCCAGAATCCTTTGCCAGCAGGTTTCCTGGTTAGAGTTCAGCAAGCAGAGGTTACAAAGTCTGAAAGGTGAATGAAAAGCAGAAACCATTATTCTTTATTCAATGGGGAGATGTCTTGGGCTTCAACAGATATGATGCTTTGCAGCTCCTGCGGATCCCCTGGAAATTGTTCATCAGGTGCTATGGTGAGCTGAGATCCATGGTGGAGGGCTTCCTGTGATTCCTGAAACTTCCTAATCCTCTCATGGCTGGTGATGAAACTGAGTGTTCTTCGTGATTGAGTAATAGCGAATGTTCTTTATGATCGCTGCTCCTCCAGCCCTTTCTATGCATTTTTAAATCACTATGTTCACTGTATTAAATTTATTCTTGCTTTAAATATCAGAGAGTTAAAAACAATTTTTTTTCTAATCGAACCCTGACTAATACCATGATATTGCTCAAATGAATCCTGAAAATTTGAGATTTGGCAACACAATTTGATTTAGCCTGCCCTTTTTCAAAGAATTGACAGGTCGACTCTTAACACACTGAGCTAAACCCTTAAACAGGCTTCACAGGATGGGAAATGAGAGAACATGATTGATCATTAAGGAAGATGTAAAACCTATGACACAGTGCATATATGATGGTGCTTACCTAAGATTATAATGGAATGGACAAATTCCTATCGCCTACCACGTTGTAGTCATCCTAAGGTTGTGGCACAACCTATTACCTTTCTATGTTTAAATATACAAATATGTATCATTGTGTTACAATTGTCTACAGTATTCAGTACAGTCATATACTGTACAGGTTCGCAGCCTAGAAGTCATACACCCTCAATGTGTAGTAGACCATATCATATAGGTTTGTGAAACTACTGCACTCTATGATGTTTGCACAGTCAATGCCTAATGATGCGATGTATCCCCATTGTTAAGTGACACACTGTATTTTGAAATAACATTTCCTGAGTGCTTAGCTTGTGTTAGACTGCTTTGTTCTGGGAACTTTATGTGCATTATTTTATTTGATCCTGACAACAAACCAGTGAGGGAGGCACTATGATTACTCCTACTTTATTTTATTTTATTTTATTTAAATTATACTTTAAGTTCTAGGGTACATGTGCACAACGTGCAGGTTTGTTACATATGTATACATGTGCCATGTTGGTGTGCTGCACCCATCAACTCGTCATTTACATCAGTTATAACTCCCAATGCTATCCCTCCCCCGTCCCTTCTCCCCATAACAGGCCGCAGTGTGTGATGTTTCCCTTCCCATGTCCAAGTGATCTTGTTGTTCAATTCCCACCTATGAGTGAGAACATGTGGTGTTTGGTTTTCTGTTCTTGCGAAAGTTTGCTGAGAATGATGGTTTCCGGCTGCACCCATGTCCCTACAAAGGACACGAACTCATCCTTTTTTATGGCTGCATAGTATTCCATGGTGTATATGTGCCACATTTTCTTAATCCAGTCTGTCACTGATGGACATTTGGGTTGATTCCAAGTCTTTGCTATTGTGAATAGTGCCACAATAAATATACATGTGCATGTGTCTTTATAGCAGCATGATTTATAATCCTTTGGTTATATACCCGGTAATGTGATGGCTGGGTCATATGGTATTTCTAGTTCTAGATCCTTGAGGAATCGCCATACGGTTTTCCACAATGGTTGAACTGGTTTACAATCCCACCAACAGTGTAAAAGTGTTCCTATTTCTCCAAATCCTCTCCAGCATCTGTTGTTTCCTGACTTTTTAATGATCGCCATTCTAACTGGTGTGAGATGGTATCTCATTGTGGTTTTGATTTGCATTTCTTTGATGGCCAGTGATAATGAGCATTTTTTCATGTGTCTGCCGGCTGTATGAATGTCTTCTTTTGAGAAATGTCTGTTCATATCCTTTGCCCACTTTTTGATGGGGTTGTTTGTTTTTTTTTTCTTGTAAATTTGTTTGAGTTATTTGTAGGTTCTGGATATTAGCACTTTGTCGCCATAAGCAGAAAGCTGAAACTGGATCCTTTCCTCACTCCTTATACGAAAATTAATCCAAGATGGATTAGAGACTTAAATGTTAGACCTAATACCATAAAAATCCTAGAAGAAAACCTAAGGAATACCATTCAGGACATAGGCATGGGTAAGGACTTCATGTCTAAAACACCAAAACAACAGCAACAGCAGCCAAAATTGACAAATGGGATCTAATTAAACTAAAGAGCTTCTGCACAGCAAAAGAAACTACCATCAGAATGAACAGGTAACCTACAGAATGGGAGAAAATTTTTGCAATCTACTTATCTGA